CAGCTGTATGATGTAGGCTCACTGATGAGTCCTTTAAGGATGAACAAGCAGTAAGATGTAGCCTCACTGACGAGTCCTCTAGAGACGAAACATAGATACGGTTAAAATGGTGGCTGTGTTCGTTCCGTATTTCTGTACTTGTCCTTCGCTTTCGAATAAGGAAAACATTTCTGCCAGAACAACAGACTGATGCAATATCCAAAGTTCCAATAAGTGTGGTGTTCAGACTGTCCACAACAGAGCAGAATAAGGAATTTTTACCGAGTTTTTTTTTTTTATTTTATTATTCATTTATTTATTTTCCCAACTTAAATCACATGTACCTGACAACAAATTGATAGTAATAAAATAATTTTTATTCACGGCTTTTGGTAGTCTGGTTAATTCAACAAGTAAGTGTTTTACCTGTTAAACGGGTTAAACACAGTGTCTAGAGATATCCTATTCATTGTGAATTACATTTGCTGTGTTTCACCGGTTGATCGTCCTAATGACCTGTTATGTTTTGATGGGCCGTTAAGGTTGTTATAATAATAATAATAATAATTGTGAATTCCTGGTTAAGTATAGTCGTTTTTTGTTAAATTTTTCTCGATCCTTAAGTATCTGTAATTTGTTACACTAACACCATACAATGAAATGATGTCAGAAATGAGCCAACGTATGATAGATACTGCTTGCATGGTTCCACCACGCGACACACTTGTTACCTTAAATCTGGTCTTGATTTGTTTTAATTTTTCCTTTTATTTTTCAAACGTGTTTGTTTCGGTTTTATTATGTCATTCACTGAGAAAAAAATCCAACTAAATTCTTTGGGAAATCACTTATAAGTGATGGACTCTACGACGATTCATTCATTCTCGTGGAATCACATATTCGCACGTGATTTACGGAGAAGTCCGGAGAAGTATTAATTTCTGTGCGATATGACACCAGTGGTCCCTGTAACACCTCTATGTTTATATCAGTTTATGTGTTGTCATATTTTGTGAGAATATAACATGTGCAGTGAACCCTGTCGACCTCCCTACTGGCTGGACTTACCAACCTAAACCTGTCCCCCGCGGCCGCGCGGCGTGATTGATCACGTGACGAAATTCTGCACTACACCGTGCCGTCGCCATCGGCCAGCGGAAGTGGTGATATGGAGAGGCCGTTTCTATAACAAACCACACGAAGAAGTTGGGGGTTTTTTTTCGCTCATGGTCTGCCTGGTCTTAACACATATTCCAATCACAACGTTAAATGTTTAAGGACAGTTTGGTATAATGATTTAAAACAAGAAAGTTCGTTTTACAGTGGTGTCAGTAGATGTGTGAACACGACATTTTCCAGCTAGATCAAAGTTTCCAGGTTAGAACAATAATGAGATACTTCTTACACCTTCATAATTAAGATACCATCCTTTACAAGGTTACGTATACATATGATGTGTTAAGGTTCAAATGCCAAAACAGAATAGTGCAAAAAATGCTTCAATCGCACTTTGGTTCTGAGACGGCCCCCGATCACATGCCAGCCATCGAGTTCTCAGAAAATATGACTTGTCACACGATATGGTAATGTTAGCACGGTGACCGGATAATTCGATGTAGTTGTGTGATTCTATGGACAATTAGGATTTACCTTAAAAATGGTAAGTGTGTACGCTTTGTTGAATAATAAAATCGCTGTAGGAAATTCACAAATAATTTTAACACCATTTTTATGTTTGCATGTACATGGTGTCGGGTTTTCTTCGATTACCCAGGACATGTGTGGCCATAAATCGTGATATAAGTCGTGGCACGTGAGATATATCACCATTCCACTAACCCGTTCAAACATAGACTTCTTTATCTTACAGTTATTTGAATTCAAATCATTATTTAGCTCAACTGTATATAACCCTATATCTGTGTTTACAGGTTTATTCATTTCTGTCTTCTGACCAAACTTTGATTAATTATTTGGTTCAGGAATCTATTTCTAAGTTTGTGTTTAAATGTATTTTTCACTTGTTTGTCTTGTTCAATATTTTAATTCCTGTTATCACTGGGTTTGTTGTTATTAGACAGTATAAGTTAAGCAGGCTATATTTATGAGTTTTATTTTTTTATTTTTAAGATTATACAGAACGATATTGTGATGCCCTAACTGATAATGACGAGGTTAAGACAACGATATGGTGAAACTGTGACTGATAATGACGAGGTTAAGACAACGATATTGTGAGACTGTAACTGATAATGACGAGGTTAAGACAACGATATTGTGAGACGGTAACTAATAACTGATAATGACGAGGTTAAGACAACGATATTGTGAGACTGTAACTGAAAATGACGAGGTTTAGACAACGGTATTGTGAGACAGTAACTGAAAATGACGAGGTTAAGACAACGATATGGTGAGACTGTAACTGATAATGACGAGGTTAAGACAACGATATTGTGAGACTGTAACTGATAATGACGAGGTTAAGACAACGATATGGTGAGACTTTAACTGAAAATGACGAGGTTAAGACAACGGTATTGTGAGACTGTAACTGAAAATGACGAGGTTAAGACAACGATATGGTGAGACTTTAACTGAAAATGACGAGGTTAAGACAACGATATTGTGAGACTGTAACTGATAATGACGAGGTTAAGACAACGATATTGTGAGACTGTAACTAATAAAGACGAGGTTAAGACAACGATATTGTGAGACTGTAACTGATAATGACGAGGTTAAGACAACGATATTGTGAGACTGTAATCGACAATAAATGTCGACAAAATTTATCGTATTTTTTTACGTCTCATTTTTTTATTCTTACTATATATATCGATTTGTTCGGTCGATGTCCTTTCTTTCTTAAACAGCTATTTCACTATAAAGAAGTGGATGAAAATGAAACGGATTGTAAACTCGACTGCCCACACTTCCAAGCCCCTTTAAAAAAATACCGTGAAAAAACAGATGAATGATATCAAACAAATAAATATTCGCCGAGACCAACTACAATATCGAAGTCGCCAGTTCGAAGACTACATGATGTATCACGTATCCGACATCGGTCCATATGATAAAAATGTACTTTGTTTAATAGCTTGGCTGATAGATATATAGGGTCACCTTTCCCGGGTGGTGATAGAAAGGGACACAAGGATACTAATTTCAATTCATATCGATTTGTGCGTAATCTAAATTGGTATGTATATACTGACTAAGATCTTTTAAGTACCTATCGATTAAAAAATCTTATCCGAACTCTTTTAAATGGAGGCGTTTAATCATCAATACATCGTATCTCCTTAATGGTAATATATGGTGAAGAAGTAATGAATGGTAAATTCTTGGATCACTGACATCAGACGGACACTCCCGGTATTGTTTCTCACGGCAGAGAAGTGGTCACCTCCCTGTGACGTATTGATGAATGACGTTATTTAATTTGTGTGTGTAGATTGATGTCACGGCGAGGAGCGGCCACCTGTCAGTAGAAAACACGACAACAAAATTGGTTTATCGTTTAGTTGTGTTTGTGTCTGATTCAATTTTTTCTATCTTTTTTTGTAATATATGAATTTTCTTCCTAATCTGAAATACACGAAAATAAGTTTTAAGAAGGTAGGACTACAGCGTTTAATGTTAAATGGAAACATAATGTCATGAGTTTCATTGGAGTAAACGATCGGACGAGAAAGGTTTTGACCACGTGGGTCTTCGTTAATCCGTTTCCTTCATCACTAGGAGGTCCTTATAAGACTTTCGTGTAAAAGACTTGTACGAGGTTTTATTCGTTAATGTACGGAGGGTGACTAAACTCGGGCACAGTCAAAGGTGATGAAACACTCGTTTTATTATCTGTATTGCTCAGCATTAGTTTGGCTTTGGTATTACCACCACCAAACTGTTTTATTGACTTCGTCCAACCACCCTTTCGTGGGCCTCTTCCGGGTAGTTTCGGGTAATCACGTCCTACTGTCCACTATAAAACCACGGGCATATACCATGCAACCATTTGACCTGGAAACGGCGTATGTAACAACAGCACACTCTCCCAGTAATTAATTAAAGAAAGTGCCAGAAATGAGAGCTATGTATTCAACACTTCAGTGTCTGTTCTATCTCCACCAATATCGACAAATACAGCAAAGTGACTGTGTAAATCGAGTACAAGTCTGATAATGCACCTTTTGGAAACATTTACAACAAAGTTCAGAATTTCAACTCCATGAATGAATGTTTGTTTGCTAACAGGTTACTAAAATTGCTTCCTTTCTTTGTAGCCAAGTACAGCCCTTCCTTATCTATATAAAACAATGGATGTCCACATTATAGGGCGACATGACTATTTGCCGAAGTGTTAGAGTGACATAACGACTCCCGCGTGGACAGTATGTCATGTCAATTGCACAATATTTAAATCTGAGTAGAAAACTATTGTTATTTTTTAGAATCGTATTTAGTTTTTGTTTTATTTAAGAAATCTGTAGCATTAATAGATTGTTTGGTCCTTCACTTACATAACTCAATCGTATGAACTGTGGTCGCATATCGAGTCATGCCTTCTATGATTATGAAGCCAGATCATCTGCTTCGTTGCTCTGCGTATCAAAGTCACGTGATTACAGTGACCACTTAATGACCCTATCTAAAGTACGCTTTGTATGGCATCGCCTGTCGAGAAGACTTCGCCGTCACTCAGTGTTAACTGTGTAAAATAAATTATGATATATAACACTGAAGCCAAGGAAAAGCGAACGGCAGTCATAACTGCACGATATATACAAAAACATTGAAAACGAATTCATCATGAATTAAAAACAACGGTTTCGCATTTTCAGGTTTGAAGTTGTTGACAACATACAGGGCATCCAGAACGAATGATAAACGTGCACGTAAAACCTGACTACGGTACACTGAACTCTAACCAAGGATGAAAATGTAACGGATAGGATTGCTGGACTTCGATAATTTATTCACCTCGACTGGAAGTAATTTAATCATTGACGACCGGCAATATGGCCGACACTGCACTTCCGGGTAAGAACTCAATAATGAATTGAAGAGATGATAAGGTCTGTCTTGAGCTGGATTTGTTGTTATCCAACACATTGCGCTCGTAACTATCAGTTACATTCGTATCACCAAGAGTTACTTCCCTTCCTTTCACTCTATCAGTAGTGATCACTTTGACAGCCTGTTGTGGACGAGAATGATCGGAAAGACCTATCACGTGACTAAGGTTCAAATAATAACATGTCTCCTGTGTTTGTGATGTTTAACGTCTGTATAACAGTCATGGTTATAACGAGGACGGGTGACTGGGGGACAACATAAGTTAAGGTCATTTGAGGACAGGTGTCAATATGGGGAAAACAATGTTCAGGGTCATATGAGGACGGGTGTCAAGAGGGACTCCAACAGTCAGGGTCATATGGGGACGGGTGTCAAGTGGGACTCCAATAGTCAGGGTCATATGGGGACGGGTGTCAAGAGGGACACCAACAGTCAGGGTCATATGAGGACAGGTGTCAGGTGGGACTCCAATAGTCAGGGTCATATGAGGACAGGTGTCAGGTGGGACTCCAATAGTCAGGGTCATATGGGGACGGATGTCAAGTGGGACTCCAATAGTCAGGGTCATATGGGACGGATGTCAAGTGGGAATTCAATAGTCAGGGTCATATGGGACGGATGTCAAGTGGGACTCAATAGTCAGGGTCATATAAGGACAGGTGTCAGGAGGGACACCAATAGTCAGGGTCATATGGGACGGATGTCAAGTGGGACTCCAATAGTCAGGGTCATATGGGGACGGGTGTGTAGTGAGATACCAACAGTCAGGGTCATATGGGGACGGATGTCAAGTGGGAATCCAATAGTCAGGGTCATATGGGACGGATGTCAAGTGGGACTCAATAGTCAGGGTCATATAAGGACAGGTGTCAGGAGGGACACCAATAGTCAGGGTCATATGGGACGGATGTCAAGTGGGACTCCAATAGTCAGGGTCATATGGGACGGATGTCAAGTGGGAATTCAATAGTCAGGGTCATATGGGACGGATGTCAAGTGGGACTCCAACAGTCAGGGTCATATGGGGACGGGTGTGTAGTGAGATACCAACAGTCAGGGTCATATGGGGACGGGTGTCAAGAGGGACACCAACAGTCAGGGTCATATGGGACGGATGTCAAGTGGGACTCCAATAGTCAGGGTCATATGGGGACGGGTGTCAAGTTGGACTCCAACAGTCAGGGTCATATGGGGACGGGTGTCAAGAGGGACACCAACAGTCAGGGTCATATGGGGACGGGTGTCAATTGGGACTCCAATAGTCAGGGTCATATGGGGACGAGTGTCAAGTGGGACTCTAATAGTCAGGGTCATATGGGGACGGGTGTCAAGTTGGACTCCAACAGTCAGGGTCATATGGGGACGGGTGTCAAGAGGGACACCAACAGTCAGGGTCATATGGGGACGGGTGTCAAGTGGGACTCTAATAGTCAGGGTCATATGGGGACGGATGCAAAACCAGCGGCATGTTGCTGGTAGTACCTATTGAAGTTTTATTGATCTACATAAACAACAAAATATTGTTTTATAAGAACGTTTTTATGTCGACATTGAAGAAATAAAAATATCATAGATATTAGTCGTTTGCATACAAAATGCAAACGATTTAATAAAATATCAAAATGTGGCTTTCTGGTTATAAGTACGTCGAAAACACAGTGATGTGTATATCCATTTATGACAAAATAAAACACCTAAACGTCGCTCATTATTTCCTTTTAACAGAAGATGTTTTAATCAATTTATGACAGGAAAAGCAAAATGTGTTTATGAAATTCTGAAGTGGGACATTAAAACTTGTGTACGGCATGTGTTAATCACGTGCACACTTTGTGAAACACTTATGTCTTCATTGTCGTAATGTTTGTTTTTTCACTTTCAAATGTAGATCAAAGGTCACGATCAAGGTCACACGGGAAATGTCTTGTCACAAGGAAACAATATACCAAATATGAAAGCCCTATCTCTTACGGTGTAATAGGCGTGGCAAACGTTAAGATTGACAACAGACAAAACAATATGTTCCCGATATTTCCATCCGGGGCATTAAAATATGCACTGACATAAAAATCAATTTTCTATTTTTCATTCACGATTATTTATCAACGTAGATTTGTCATTTAATATACACTATGTCTTTTGCTGTTGTTTATGACATCGAAAAATTTTCAACTAAAATCGATTTTCCTGTTTCAGAGTGCTCCCTCATTACAGATCTCCCGGAAACCAATGCTTCTCATCCTACCCCGGATATAGTGTTCAGCACAGAGCAAAGGATTGTGGGAACTACTGTTGATGTCACGTGCCCTGAAGGTTACAATGTGATTGGACAAGATACGATAACGTGCTTAATTTCTGGACAATGGGATGCGGATGCTCTACCCCATTGTAGTGGTACGATTTGATTTGTTTATTTTTAATGCAAAGCAGAGAATCAACATTCTCTTAAAATCGTTCAAAATTGAAAATTTTTAAACTTCAAGAATAATTTAAGTTCGGGAATTATTCGCCATCCCATCTTATTTTTTCATGCATTTTATCCAATTTTTATATTTACCTTAGTCGTCTTTCCGTTTTTAAGTTTAAGTCCATAGCAACAGCTGTATAATGCAGATTCATTATTTGGTTCTAGTTTATCTAATTGTAAAACTCCTTTTAGTGTAGCGTTTAATCAGCCTGTTGACCATTGACCACAGGAGACCATCGTTTACATCGTGGTAAACAAAACCACAAGTTTATCAATTTATATTTTTTACAATATCAGACATCGAGATTCTGTCTGTTACAGACGTGGTGTATGGTATCCCAGATTCCACTAAGATCTACCTGGGAGTATTTGCCATCTGTGGTGCCCTCTGTCTGATCGTCTTTACCGTAGTTCTTACAAAGATTATCTGTTTCAAGGACAAGACGAAATACTCGAACAAGTAAGTTACTGACACACAAAAGACGTGCTATAGAACAAACTTATATATATGTATAACTCAAACAAGTCTTGTTTTTATTACCTAGGGTAGTTTATACCAACCAGAGTTGAAAATAAAGGACAGGACAGACTCTTCTCTATCAACCGCTTACCTCGATCTTGTCCTATAAAAATCACCACAAAATTCTTTCCTCTAATCTTCATGATAAGCGCGATGACTTCAATTTCCTCAATGTTAATTGCTTTCATTACTTAAAATGTTTAAGTTCCACAGACGTTTCGATGTCCAAGGGTTTGTTCCTAATCTCACGTTTTCCCTGTTAGCACCGACAACTGACAGACAAACACACATACAGGATAAAGAGAGATACAGTTTGATGAAAAGTATAGGGAAGTTTTATGGTCCTGATATCGATCTTATTTTGATAAATTATTTCTTGTGTGATAGGAAGTTGAACATTTTGGATGCTCATTACTATGACAGATGGTTCCGTGGTTGGTAACCTTTTTCCGGACGTGACTTTCTTGTCATGACCGAGATTTTGTCGAACGATAAGACGCTTACATATCCAGAACACCTGGTCTTATTCACTTTGTACCTATACAGGGGTTTCAGTGTAAATCTTTGTTTTGTTCATACTTTGTCTGTTTCCTCGAATTTGAAATTGAACTAGCATGTCGGTATTTTCTTTGTTGTTTTCACAGGTTAAGATGACAACTTCCCAAACTTTCTTTCGATCCAGTAAACACAACTCGCTATAAAAATGGCCCTATTTTGTGGTGTAATAGTTTGTATGTTCCTGTCTGTTATAGTAATTTCCTAGGCAGAAGCACCGAGTCTGTATCATCTATGCAGTATTTTCCGGAAGAAAAGGGATACAGAGCTGCAACGCAACCGGAAGTTATCATAGACGATCCCCAATCTTCTACTCCGCCACCGGATATAGATACTATAGCAACCTACGTTAACCAGTCGTACCTCGTGGACGAGCAGGAAAGATGGCGACAGAGACTGTCTAGTTATGATAGTTCATTTGATGGAGATTTTGACCTTCAATGGCATCACATGTATGTATAAAGGTGTAAAAAAAAAACTCAGACGAACCACGTACAGAAAACGACAAAATAAGCTCACTTTCGCTACGAATTGTCATCATCCGGTGTGGCATTTGACCCATCCTATAATGGTAATATTAGCCCCCTATAGTCTTTCATACTATTTCCGGTATGTAGTTCTACGACACGCATTTGTCCGCATGTGGAAAAATAGGCTTCCTTGACTAATAAATATTTATGAAAGAATGACGTAAAAGTATTTGTGTCGTCATCAAAGCTTGAGAGACGGCAAGCATGAAAACAGGGGGTAGGAATGGGGTACAAATAGATTTTTCTTTATTTTTCTACTCTGTATCCAATATTACATGTAGAGGCAAAACAAAACTTAATTGATTTTTTTTGTTAAGTGATGTCTATGGAGTTTAATACGTGATCATGTAAATTTATGCTGATCGGTAAATGCACTTGTTCAGTAGTATACGAATTAATTCATCAGTCACATTTACATTTGAACTATTAAACTTTATAGGGAAAAACGGTTGACTGGTGACACCGGATTCAGAATACCTATTGATGATTTTTATCATATCGTTCCTGCAAGATATAATTCTAGTTACCCCGTCGCTGACGCCATCAGTTTTTGAGCACAAATGCGTTATTGACCATTTCAAACGTCTCAGGAACCTTTTCATCTGCTTCATCTTTGTTGTTGTTTCCGGAATCTGGAAATATCGATTCGGTTCTGTATATTACATACGGTGAAACTTTTCTTTCCCGAAGAATACAACCCAGTAATGTCATCCAAAGTCATCGAAATTAGTGGTATCATGTCATTCTGTAACATGACGACAAAGATTATATACAACTTACCGCTTCACTTTTGTGATTCTCATGGGAACCTCAAAAACAAAAACAAAAAAAAAAACAAAAAAAAAAAAAAAAAACCCAAAAAACATAATGATTATTTTTTTAAGATTAATGCATTCGGAACGGTGTCAGGTGTAATAATTTACTGTTGAAAATGTGCCAGCTCGCATTGATTTTAAGAATGCACCGTTCTCTGTTCACCTGCTATACCTTTATATTTAAAAACCAATATGGCGGATATGCAAATTAAGCGCGCGAGCTTAATCTGCCGTATGGCTTCATTAAAAGGTTGGGACATAATTCAGGCCATCTATTTTCTTAGAAAGACGAAGATCCGCTGTAGCTTAATATAAACTTACTTAGCAATAATGCTAGTCTTCTTTGAAATCGTCAGTAACTATCGACTGTTTGATCATTCATGTGTGGCCTCATGTTACTTTCAGTCAACCGGAAGTACCACAGGATAATAGCCGGAAGTGGAGTAACCATAGCATACCAGGCGTCGATACGTACGACTATGACCAGTAAGTATAAAAATGTACCCGCGGGATTAAAAAAAAAAAAAAATATATATATATATATATATATGTATATACTAGTCTAAACCGTGTGTTTGTAAAATACACGTGGTATTAACTGTAGATTTATCTATTTGACTCCCCGGGAAATGTACATACTGCATCTGTATAACTTAAATTTTCGTTGTGTAGAATAGACATACCACGAAAATAAACACTAGGATTACGACTTCAAACGCAGGAATCATATTTATAGAGCTTTGTGTGGTATCCAAGAGAAATTACGTCATAAAACCAAAACCAAATACTGTACATGTGTACATTGTGTATACAGACTGCTGTAGAAGATACTACTTTGACGTCGTGTATGATACAAACAACCCGCTCATAAAATGTTTGATTTTTCCATCAGATACAAAGCAAAACCCATTGACACGATTTTAAATATTTGATATGGGCCAGCGTGTCACAGTTACATAACCCGTAATACTGACGTTTTTTTTTCTCGACAGGTACGGGGGTATGCCTGTTATCGGCGAAGGAGAACACATCGGTGATGACAGAACTCCATTTTGATGACGTCAAACCTTTAATTGCTTATGGCAGATAATGAACTCTGCTTTGATGAAAAAAGAGTTAAGTTTTACACTCGTCATAAACTTCAAAAACATTAGCACATGGACAAGAATATGTTTTAAGTACATCTGTATTTACACAAAACTCAAGTATGTCACAGAAATTATCAAAATGATAAGGAAAACTATTAAGTGGCACTTTGGATATTTTCACGCCATGTGATATATATATATATATTCGTACATTGCATACAGCTGGGAGGTTTAAGCAGACCTGGAACATGTAATTACACGAGGGAGACTAACATTTTGACCGCAGTAGCGGAGATTTTTGGTCATGGATAGAAAGTCGCGATCGTTGTTTAACTCACGTGGCGGGAAAAATCATAGAGTGAAGTGACGTCATTGTATAGTGATTTGACGTCATGCTGTGAAGTGGTGTGACGTCATAATGTAGAGTGATGTGTCGTGACGTTACAGCTCTAGGTTATATAGCATCACGACATTTACTGTCACTATCCTACAGTATTGTGTTGTTTTATTCAAATATTAATTTGTATTGGTATAAACAGTATTTATAAATTAAACATGTTACTTTATTTATAAATTCTCGCCTATTGGATTCAGTCTTTACTTTTGTTTTAAATAAAAATGAACGATGGTTCGTTTGTTGTATTTACTGTATTCAGTATGAGATTATGAGATTACTGTTTTAAGTTTTAATCAAAACGGCACAACCATCAGCATGACACCCGTTGAAATCAGAATTAGACCTGAATGTTAAGTGTTTTAAGTACAAATGAGGTATTAGTTGACCAATCGATTCACAGGAACGCCCATTCCGATGTTCCGCATACTTTTCTTTGACCACGAACAGTACATGTTATATACATCACGAACTATATATTTCGATAATATCAGAATAGGTACTTTTGAACTTTGGTGAACAAAATACGGTCTCTGATGTATCGTAACAACAGCGTTATCTTGTCCAATTTTCATTACTTTATTGGTTACAACCGTATTTTTTTCGTTTTTATTTTTCTCACTTTTAATGGGTTTTATGAAAATTTAGTCTGAAGCAAAAGTGGGCAGTCGTGATTCAATTTTGTATAAACCAAGGACCTGGGGCGCAATAAGGGTAACGGGAATACACCTTTATGATACATGTATCAGAGGATTTTGACAAAATCACCAGCGGGGAAGGCAGGATTCAATTTTGTATGAGGGAAGAGTCTGAGAACTCACTACCCCCACCGCCCGGGAGGCGAAGTTTCCGGGCCCAATAGAACCAAGGGAGATAATCCTTGAAGTCCTTTGACTCTAACCGAAACCAGGAGAGCAATAATAGACACCAGATAACAGTTATTAAGTGAACTGAGTCACAAACCCTGTTAGAAAAACAGCACATAACAATTCTGAATGTACACTTCTTTTTGCAAACTAATGCAGTGTACACCAAAATAGAACAGTGTTCACAAACTCCAATCATGTAGATTAACTGGATGTATACTGATGTAGAAGTATTTCTATGTTGTGTATAATATATTTTTTGTAATATCAACTAAGACGGCCAAACTGGAATGAGACTACTGGTCAGTAGGGAGATCACAGATTACTTACAGGGTTAAATTTAGGTTAACATTGAGTTTTAGGGAAAAATTACCTGTATCAAGCATCATTTGGAGGCCAGGTCACCTGTTAAAGTGTGAGGAGCTTGGGATAAATTATATGAATGTAAATGTTATTCGTAGGCATAACAACAAAACAGATCAGTTATACAAGTACATTTTATTACAAAAATACTTTTAATTTTTCAGATGTAAATATGAAATAAAAGTGCATAAATACTAGATTTAAATGATGTACTTCCATTAACTGAAGTAACACAGGAAGCATATTTAAAACAAGAAAAAAAAATGAAATTTTAAACATATAAACAAATATACATACATATCTGTTTCTGGGTAAACGTACTGAACACTTAGCATATCATTCTTAGATATCAGCAGCATCATCAATTTGACTGTGATGATGATGCTAAAGAATCTCATAATTCTTAATCTCATAGTCCTTAATCCTCAATATCTAAGTCCTTAATCCTCAATCTCCTAGTCCTTAATCCTCAATCTCCTAGTCCTTAATCCTAAATATCTAAGTCCTTAATCCTCAATCTCCTAGTCCTTAATCCTCAATATCTAAGTCCTTAATCCTCAATCTCCTAGTCCTTAATCCTCAATCTCCTAGTCCTTAATCCTCAATATCTAAGTCCTTAATCCTCAATCTCCTAGTCCATAATCCTCAATTTCCTAGTCCTTAATCCTAAATATCTAAGTCCTTAATCCTCAATCTCCTAGTCCTTAATCCTCAATATCTAAGTCCTTAATCCTCAATCTCCTAGTCCTTAATCCTCAATATCTAAGTCCTTAATCCTCAATCTCCTAGTCCTTAATCCTCAATCTCCTAGTCCTTAATCCTCAATATCTAAGTCCTTAATCCTCAATCTCCTAGTCCATAATCCTCAATTTCCTAGTCCTTAATCCTAAATATCTAAGTCCTTAATCCTCAATCTCCTAGTCCTTAATCCTAAATATCTAAGTCCTTAATCCTCAATCTCCTAGTCCTTAATCCTCAATATCTAAGTCCTTAATCCTCAATCTCCTAGTCCTTAATCCTAAATATCTAAGTCCTTAATCCTCAATCTCCTAGTCCTTAATCCTCAATATCTAAGTCCTTAATCCTCAATCTCCTAGTCCTTAATCCTCAATCTCCTAGTCCTTAATCCTCAATATCTAAGTCCTTAATCCTCAATCTCCTAGTCCATAATCCTCAATTTCCTAGTCCTTAATCCTAAATATCTAAGTCCTTAATCCTCAATCTCCTAGTCCTTAATCCTCAATATCTAAGTCCTTAATCCTCAATCTCCTAGTCCTTAATCCTCAATATCTAAGTCCTTAATCCTCAATCTCCTAGTCCTTAATCCTCAATCTCCTAGTCCTTAATCCTCAATATCTAAGTCCTTAATCCTCAATCTCCTAGTCCATAATCCTCAATTTCCTAGTCCTTAATCCTAAATATCTAAGTCCTTAATCCTCAATCTCCTAGTCCTTAATCCTCAATATCTAAGTCCTTAATCCTCAATCTCCTAGTCCTTAATCCTCAATATCTAAGTCCTTAATCCTCAATCTCCTAGTCCTTAATCCTAAATATCTAAGTCCTTAATCCTCAATCTCCTAGTCCTTAATCCTCAATATCTAAGTCCTTAATCCTCAATCTCCTAGTCCTTAATCCTCAATCTCCTAGTCCTTAATCCTCAATATCTAAGTCCTTAATCCTCAATCTCCTAGTCCATAATCCTCAATTTCCTAGTCCTTAATCCTAAATATCTAAGTCCTTAATCCTCAATCTCCTAGTCCTTAATCCTCAATATCTAAGTCCTTAATCCTCAATCTCCTAGTCCTTAATCCTTAATTTCCTAGTCCTTAATCCTAAATATCTAAGTCCTTAATCCTCAATCTCCTAGTCCTTAATCCTCAATATCTAAGTCCTTAATCCTCAATCTCCTAGTCCTTAATCCTCAATCTCCTAGTCCTTAATCCTCAATATCTAAGTCCTTAATCCTCAATCTCCTAGTCCTTAATCCTCAATATCTAAGTCCTTAATCCTCAATCTCCTAGTCCTTAATCCTCAATCTCCTAGTCCTTAATCCTCAATATCTAAGTCCTTAATCCTCAATCTCCTAGTCCTTAATCCTCAATTTCCTAGTCCTCAATCCTCAATATCTAAGTCCTCAATCCTCAATCTCTTAGTCCTTAATCCTCAATCTCCTAGTCCTTAATCCTCAATATCTAAGTCCTTAATCCTCAATCTCCAAGTCCTTAATCCTCAATATCTAAGTCCTTAATCCTCAATCTCCCAGTCCTTAATCCTCAATCTCTTAGTCCTTAATCCTCCATCTCTTACTCAATCTCCTAGTCCTTAATCCTCAATCTCTTAGTCCTTAATCCTCAATCTCCTAGTCTTTAATCCTCAATCTCTTAGTCCTTAATCCTCCATCTCTTACTCAATCTCCTAGTCCTTAATCCTCAATCTCTTAGTCCTTAATCCTCAATCTCCTAGTCTTTAATCCTCAATCTCTTAGTCCTTAATCCTCAATCTCTTAGTCCTTAATCCTCAATCTCCCAGTCCTTAATCCTCAATCTCTTAGTCCTAACCCCTGTTTCCTAATTGTTGACCTATATCTTTGGTCTACTTTCTCCTGAGCACCTTAATCTACACCCAAATTTTATAGATAACCATCATTCAATACAAAAAAATCATAAATCACCAAGATGTTTGTCCTGAATCACCAAGATGTTTGTCCTGAATCACCAAGATGTTTGTCCTGAATAACCAATATTTTCATATAACACAATAATTATCAACTCTCTGGAATATGTTGTTTTATACACAAATAACTTATATCATCAATACCTATTTTTTTGATAACTGATCAATGTATTTTACAACATAAAACACCTGTATATGGTTTAAAGAATTGTTCCATAGCAACTGTAACCCATGTACAAGTTTGAACACAGTGTTTAATATCAAAACTACTACAACCTTGAACACAGTGTTTAATATCAAAACTACTACAACCTTGAACACAGTATTTAGCTTCTGAGTTACTGGATTCAGGCTCCAGTTGCTCAAAGGTTGGTCAGAGTTAACCTGTGGTTAGTGAAAAAATGTTGCTGATGAAAATACAAGAACGAAAAGAAAATCTGCACTGGAAAGTATCAACCTGACTTGTCTCAACAAATCTACAGCTGTGACATTTCAAAATCTGCACTGGAGAGTATCAACCTGACTTGTCTCAACAAATCTACAGCTGTGACATTTCAAAATCTGCACTGGAGAGTATCAACCTGACTTGTCTCAACAAATCTACAGCTGTGACATTTCAAAATCTGCACTGGAGAGTATCAACCTGACTTGTCTCAACAAATCTACAGCTGT